ATAGAATAGCAGAGTTGGAAGGGACCATAGAGGTCTCCTAGTCCAACCCCCTCTGCTTAGGCAGGAGGAAACCCAACACCAAGATAAAAACTTGTGAGCAGGGCGTTTTGTGGTGCAAAGGGAAATCTTTCGTGGAGATTCTTCCTTATATGAGGAAGGTAAGGAAGGAAGGAAGGAAAGGAAGGGAGGAAGAAAGGAAGGAAGGAAAGGAAAGGAAAGGAAAGGAAAGGAAAGGAAAGGAAAGGAAAGGAAAGGAAAGGAAAGGAAAGGAAGGAAGGAAGGAAAGGAAGGGAGGAAGGAAAGGAAAGGAAAGGAAAGGAAAGGAAAGGAAAGGAAAGGAAGGAAGGAAGGAAGGAAGGAAAGGGAGGGAGGAAGGAAGGAAGGAAGGAAAGGAAAGGAAAGGAAGGAAGGAAGGAAGGAAGGAAAGGAAGGGAGGAAGGAAGGAAGGAAGGAAAGGAAAGGAAAGGGAAGGAAGGAAGGAAGGAAGGAAGGAAGGAAAGGAAGGAAGGGAAGGGAAGGGAAGGGAAGGGAAGGAAAGGAAAGGAAGGAAGGTGGACTCAGAGAGGGAATCTCTCTGACCTGATCTCTGGATCTTCTGCCGCTTCTTCGCTTCCGCTCTCTTCTTGCAGAGTTTTGCAAAACTTCCTCGCCGCCGCTTGATCCTGCCGCAGCCATGTGTTTTTACCCCTACAAAATCTCCCTGGGTAGTAGATACTGCAATGATGATTATGATTATTATTTTTCTCTCCCTGACGTTCAAGGGGGGGGGGGGGGTTTAATTTCTAGAACGTGCCCTTTGTGACTTCGTCCTGGTCTTGCTGGCTGGGAAAAGGGGGAAGGGGGTGTTGCTGTTTTGGTGCCAACAACCTGAAACCTCTCCAATGCACCGTGTGTAAAAAAAACAACTGGGAGTCAGCTGATCTGCCGGGGCTGCATGGGCTTCTGGGAGTTGTAGTTTTTTTTTTAATTTTCTCCATAGCATCTTGCGCTCCTCCTCACTAAGTCTGCAGTCTGGATGTTCTCCAGCTAGGTTGGCTTGTCGTTCCCAGGGGACTTCAGGGGAGGGGTATTCCGGCCAGCAGGCTTGGAAAGGCTGCATTAAACGGAGCTTAATTCAGAAATACAGGCGGTCCTTGACTTAAAACTTTTCATTGAGCTAACAAACGATGAACGGTTGCAGGAAATGGGCCTGGCTAGTTTGGTGAAGAGAAGGACCAGGGGAGGACAGGATAGTAGCCTTCCAGTATTTGAGGGGCTGCCCCAGAGAGGAGGAAGGGGGTCAAACTATTCTCCAAGTCACCTGAAGGCCAGACAAGGAAGAATGGATGGAAACTGATCAAGGAAAGATTCAACCTGGAAATAAGGAGGAACTTTCTGACAGGGAGAACAATACAGAAGTTGCCCTCGGAAGTTGTGGCAGCTTCATCCCTGGAGGCTTCCAAGAAGAGAATGGTGTCGGGAATGGTGTAGGGTCTCAGTGGGGTGGGTGGGGGTTGGACTAGATGACCCCCAAGGTCCCTTCCAATTCTGTTAATCTGTTTGAAGATGTAACATTGCCACTGGTCCTCGCCTGTAAAGCAGGCAAGGCAGCCCCCACCCAAAATTGGGGCCCTTGGCAGGTTATTTATGCCAGTTGTGACATCCTGGGGGAAATCTCGTGTGACCTCCATTTTGTGACCTTCCTAGTTGGCTTCCAACCAACAGAGCCAATGGGTGGGATTTGGATTCGTTTAGCGACTGTATGGTCCACTTTAAGAACTGCAGTGAAAAAGGAAGGCGTAAAACGAGGCTTAACAAGTCACGTAAGCGTCTTGCTCAGCCATGGTCCCAATTGTGGTCATTAAGTGGAGGACTTGTCATTTGAGGGTCTCCTGCTTGAGCAGGGGGTTGGACTAGAAGACCTCTAAAGGTCTCTTTCAACCTTGTTCTCAAACCTTGGCGGCCGGACTGTCCAATCTCCTCTTGAAAACCTCCCAGGATTTACAGGCGGTCCTCGACATACGAGAACGTTTCTGTTGCTACCCTTTAGTTTGTTTGTGAGTTTTTCCCCGTTTTTACGATCTTCCTTGCCAGAGTTCTTAAGGGAATCCCCACCATTGTTAAGTTAATCGCACGGTCGTTAACTGAATCTGGCTTCCCCCGTGGACTTGGCTTGCCAGAAGGTTGCCAAAGGGGAATCGCGTGACCCAAGGAACGCTGCCACCATCATAAGGGTGAGCCAGGTGCCAAGCGCCTGGATTTTGATCACGTGACATGGGGATGCTGCAAAAACGGTCCTAAGGCACTTTTTCCAGTGCTACTGCCGTAACCTCAGTCACTAAGTGATCTGTTGTAAGCCGAGGACCACCTGTGTTTTATGATACGGTTTTTTAAATGCAGCCTTTATCCCCAGATAGCCACTGGATGTCACTCTTGCCTTTCTTTGCTCCTTCTTGGTATGGTTTAAAACTGCGACTCCTGCCTCCCAAATCAACAGGAAAGTCATTTCAAGGACAAAAACAGCCGAATATAAGAGGGATTTTAAAAAAAATAAACAACCCTGCAGACCATCCAAAGTGTAATACACACACCCAAGCCGGCAGATGAAATGGAACAATTAATGAAAACTACCATTTCTGTCTTTTTTTTTTTTTTGCTTCTTCAAACATCTGTCTTTTTATTTCATTTCACCAGCCTGTTCGGTGGCGAGATAGTTTTCCTCCCACCAAGGAAAGTTTTTCTTTTTAAATTATTATTTTTTTCCCCCTGGGATTTCTCCTTCTTTGCATTCTGTCTTCAGCGCCAGGGACAAGACTTTGGAAGGCCAAAACAGTTCGCCGGTATTGAAAGCAGACAGTGACGAAGCAATGCAAAGGGTGCCTTTCAAAATAATCACTCGGCAGAAGAACATTTCGGATAGACCGAAGTGTGATATATAGGTTTAAGGGGGCCGTTTTTTAAAAAAACGGGGTTCATGTCAGTCCCTTCGGAGGAGGCCGTGTGGTTTGCAGGCTGCCCTGGGCAATCTAAGGGGACCCTCCCACCAATCTGACATTCCACACAAAAGGTGCTGTGAAGCACACGGGACCTGTGCAAGTCACACTAGTCGACGGTGGTGCGTGGAATAAAAATGTGCCCCTCCCAAAAGAAGCGGAGCACATCAGCCAATTGTGTTTTTCTTTTCCCTGTGGGTCATGTAGCCACAACCGTGGCAGCTTTAAAGTGGGTGGACTTCAACTCCCAGAATCCCCCAGCCAGCATGCTTTAAGATGGGTGGGCTTCAATTCCCAGAATCCCCCATCCAGCAGGCTTTAATATGGGTGGACTTCAACTCCCAGAATCCCCCATCCAACATGCTTTAAGATGGGTGGGCTTCAACCCCCAGAATCCCCCCACCCAGCATGCTTTAAGATAGGTGGACTTCAACTCCCAGAATCCCCCATCCAGCAGACTTTAATATGGGTGGACTTCAACTCCCAGAATCCCCCATCCAGCATGCTTTAAGATGGGTGGGCTTCAACCCCCAGAATTCCTCAAGAAGCATGCTTTAAGGTAGGTGGATGGTTTATAAGTTGAGAACTACCTGCATTGGGTAGAGGGAGAATTTAGTTGAAATCTAGGCAGGACTCCGTGTCTCTTTTCAGCCAAAACGTCACTCGAGATTATACGAGTAAATCGAAGCCAGATTGGTGTCCCCAGACCCCCTTAAACCCACTGACCCAGTTGAGCAAGATGTAAAGGCCAGTAACGGATCTTCCATGCCTCTCGAATCTAGGAAAGTAGAAATCTTTAAATAAATATATCAGCCGGACGACATGGGTCGCAGCTCAGACACTAAGCTGCTCAGGCCGGGGATAAGATGTTGATGGATTGGGGGGGGGGAAGTGGGGGCACCCAGATTGTAGTTCATTAATTGCCTCCAAGCTGCCAATAATCCAGATAATCAGGACTTGGCGAGGGGATCTGCTAAATCCCCCGAATTGCTGATGTTCTCACCAATTCAGTTCTTCCGTCCCTCTGAAACAGGATATTTGGAACTCCTTAAGTCGGCCAGCGGACGGGAGGAAGCATTTCGTGCCATTCTTCTTAATCTTGAAAACGGTCGCAATGCGCACGTGCGACAGCAGCCAGACATTTTCCTAAGACGTTGTTTTGTCAGCCCAGACATTGTTGCTTGTCCGTCGTGGCTGGAAGTTTTGCAAACTCAATCAAATGTGGTTTTATTCCATCAAGCGGCAGCCCGAACCCAACGTAAGTTTATTTTTAAAATTGAAAAAAAAAACCAGAATGCTATCAGCTGTGTTCACACAACATGGTCCCAAATCACGATTTATGAATCACAACCGATCCCATAACGCGTTAAACCCCAAACGAACACATTAAGGTTTACGTAACGGCTCCTTCTCTATAAAAGCTTCTATCCCAGGGCAGTAACGCTATTGAATTCTACTGTATAGTGCAATATTAATGCAATATCAGGGGTTTTCAATTCAAATTCAATGTACAGAATGTGAAGGATGTGTGTTTGTGTTTTATTTTTATAGTCATAAATTGTACACTGAAGACCGTATTTAATTTTGTTGTACAAGGGGCAATGACAATAAACTAAACTAAATATGAACCACATTATTGGACTCAGAACTCTTTGTTTTGTTTGAGGTTTTTGCTTAAAATACAAGGCACATTCTTCATTTTTTCCCCCACTCCAACGCTATATTAAAAAGTGTTCACAGGGCAAAACTTATAAGCCCACCAAACACTGTGCAGAATTCAGGGCTGTATATCCACCAAAGCACAATTTAATTTCGGGACAAAAAAACCAACCGAGCTAACAGTGTAGATTCTAGCTTAGCTATTTCCCAAGGATGGGATGTAGGAAGAGAAAGCGGCCAGATGAGTGGAGAGGAGGACAGGAAATGCAGGCTCAGAAGCCTAGCCCAAACTATCCTATGAAATTGTACCTAAAATGAGTATTATTATTATTATTGTTGTTGTTGTTGTTGTTATTGTTCTGAAAAAAAAGCTCTTTATTGAAAAATGAAGCCCCAGAGGCACAGTTCTAGGAGCTGGAAGTCCTTACCAGTTTGTTTTCTGGAGAGGGGGTGAGTCTTGGCATAACTGCCCTCTTTTACTGAAAAGCAGGAACCGGTGGATTTGTGTTGATATTTGACATTTTGGTAAAGAGCAGCCCTTGAGAGAGAGAGAGAGTCTATCAGCCGGCTTTTACGGTTGCACTCCCAGCACCTCTGTGTAAAGTTTCACGGCCCCTTTGGCCGACGGGCACAGTTCATTCCACCACTCGCCCTTCTGCTCCATCGACGGGACGTCCTGCACAGACAGAGAGAGAGACATGAGAGAGATGACGAAACGGGAGGAAGTCCAACAGGACGTGCAAGGATGGTTTTCGTGGGCAGAGGTTTTGATGGGGTGAGGGTGATTTTCGAGGTGGGCTAAAGTTTACACTCTAGCTGGGTCCACCTCTTTTCTGGTAAACTTCAAGGCAGAATAATGACACCCAATTAACTCTAGCGCATCCCCAAGAGGGTGAGAGGCTCAGAATAGAATAGAATAGAATAGAATAGAATAGAATAGAATAGAATAGAATAGAATAGAATAGAATAGAATACTTTATTGGCCAAGTGTGGTTGGACAAACAAGGAATTTGTCTTTGGTGCAAATGCTCTCAGTGTACGTAAAAGAAAAGAGACATTGGTCCAGAGTTAAGAATAGAATTAGAATTAGAATTAGAATAGAATTGAATAGAATTAGAATTAGAATTAGAATTAGAATTAGAATTAGAATTAGAATTAGAATTAGAATTAGAATTAGAATTAGAATTAGAATTAGAATTAGAATTAGAATTAGAATAGAATAGAATAGAATACAATTCTTTATTGGCATAAGCTCTCAGTGTACATAAAAGAAAAGAGACATTCGTCAAGGGTCAAGAATCATCAGGTGCAACACTTAATAAGTCATAGGGTACAATAGGCAATCGAATCAAGTTAGCTATCAAAGTGCTATCAAGTTAGCAGGCTTGGTCGAGTGATTTGAGGCAGCAGGAGACGCTGAGTTCGAGGCCTGCCTTAGGCACGGGAGCCGGCTGGGTGACTTGGGCCAGTCCCTCCTCCAGAGGTTTAAAACGTACCTCTCGGCTGACAAAAATGATGCCGACGGATTCTTGAGCTTCTGGTCCCCCGAGAGCATAACGCTGCTTCACTTCCTCTGAGGACAGGCTGCACCTGAAGGGCAAAATGGAGAGGAGAACCGTCCGCAGAGGAGGAGAACTGAAGTCACGATGGAGGGTGGCCTCCCTGGGTTTGAAAATGGGCTGGATTGAACAAGCAGCTGACTCATTTTTTAGGACAGCTGCCGCGTCATGACAGGCGCGTTTCTCTCGCCACGTACATGTATACATCCAAAAATGGACTGTGTTGTTTCTCCGTGTCATATAATATACGTGGGCGAGTGGTGCAGTGGCCTAGAGGTGGAGCTCTTGCTTCACAATCAGGAGGCTGTGAGTTCGATCCTAGGTAGAGGCAGATATTTCTCTCTCTGGGCACTGTAAGAATATATCCGCTGCAAATTCCGCATTGGTGACAGGAAGGGCATCCGGACAGTAAATACTCAGCTCCATATAGATAGATAGATAGATAGATAGGAGAGAGAGAGAGATAAGACAGATAATAGGTAGGCAAGTAGAGAGATAATAGAGAAGAGAAAAGAGAAGAGAGAGAAGTAGGTAGGTGGATAGAGAGAGATAAGTCAGATAATAAGGAGGTAGGTAGAGAGATGGATGGATGGATGGATAGATAGATAGATAGATGATAGATAGATATGCATAAAAAAATATATGTGGGTATACTGTATGCATAATTTTGTATCTGTTTATTTCATGTTTATGTAGTATATATTGGAGGTGGTGACGATTTGTGAGCTGTATGCAACGAAATTTCATTTTAATGTATGCAGATACATTCAAAGTGACAATAAAGTTATTCTAAGTCTCTAAGTGGCAGGGTTTTAAGTTTTATGGCCTTCTGACAAGCGGTGTCAACGAGGAAGCCAGAGTCACGTTACTAACTCAACAACCCCAACGATTCCCTTAACAACGGTGGCAAGAAAGGTCGCAAAATGGGGCAAAGCCCGCTTAAAAAATGTCTCGCTTAGTGACATAAATCTGGGGGCCCAATCGCGGTTGTAAGTGGAGGACTGCCTGCACCCCAGCTTCCTCAAGCATTACCTGACATAGAATTCGGCGCTGCACCGGCCCGCCGTGGTTTCATTCCGAACGATGCCAAGCAAAAGTGGCCTGCTGAGCGTGTCCGGCTGAAGGTTCATCTGGAAACAGGTAAAAAGGCGGTTCAGGTGAAGGAGACCCGGCTCAGCGCCAGGCCTCCTTCTTGTCGTCCAGCCTCTCACCTCATCCTGGATCTCACGAAGCACGGAAGAGAAGAGTTCCCCGACCACCAGATCCCCCGGGAGATCCTGGTGTCGAATCAAGGATCCCACCGAAGCGTCCTTGCCCAACACAGCCTGCAAAGGGAAATTGGCCTTGCTCAAGGGGCGCAGTCAGAGCTGCAAACAGGATCCATCGGCGACGTCAACAAATTGGGAGAGAATTATCATGCGGAGCCGTAATTTTCCAAAAGAATTACGCCCCAGTGTAGCTTAATAGGGGTGAGGTCCTTACCTTACAACAGTTAATTTAGCAGCCGTTCAAAGTTACAACGGCGCTGAAGAAAGGGACTGAGGACTGTTTTTCACAGTTACGACCTTGGCAGCATCCCCGCCATCGGAGGCTTGGCAACTGGCTCACACTTATGACCGTATGAGTCCTGAGATCCACTTTTGCGACCTCCTGACAAGCAAAGTCAACAGGGGAGCCAGTCTCGCTTAACAACCGGGTTATTCATTTATCAACTGCAGTGATTTGCTTAACAACCGGAGCAAGAAAGGCCGTCAAATGGGGCAAACTTAGCTTAATAAATGCTTCACTGGACCATGGAAATTTTGGGCTCAATTGTGGTAGTAAGTGGACGTACGAAGGGTCACTTGACACTTGACATATGAACCAATGGCTTATCAACCATTCAGAGTTATGGTGGACTTAAAAAAAAAAGTTATTTATCACCCGTCGTCAAAGTTACGATTCCTGGGCACGCACAACACCCCGCAGTCATGCGCTCACACAGTTGGCCACTGGTGCACATTCATGGCATCCCCGTGACTTTGACGCTGTTTTCCAGCAGGAAACAAGTCCATGGGGTATGCTGGACTCATTTAATGACCAGGCGCTTTGCTGAACAATGGCGTGATCCCCTCAACGACCTTGGTGACTGGCTTGATATCATAAAAAGGGCTGCAAAATTTAATCAGGCTCAATTGCAAGAACCGACAACCAAAATTCTGTGCTCCGTGCTGGTCGTAATTCAAGGACTACCTGTCTGTATTTATAAGATGGGGGGGGGATTCCCTCCACTGCCCCCAAAGCGGATAAAGACACCCACCTGAGGCTCCGGGTGCCCGCCGGGAACGTCGATCTTTCCTGGGGCTTCTCCCACACACAGGCTCCGTCGCAAGAAGACCAAGTTGTCGTCCGCGGTGTGCAACACGGCGCCCACACCCAGGGGGTCGGCGAGGTAGGCTTGGCTGTTCCCAAAGTCCTTGTGCCCCTGTTCCTGCAGCTGCCTGGCTGTCTCTGCCAAGTTGGTGCCCACGAAGTCCTTGTAGCTGGTGAGCCCCAGGTGGAAAGTCAAAATGCTCCCATCCAGCTTGACAGAGTGGAGGCGAAATTTGGCCCCGTCGAAAAGCCACGGGTTCTGCCGGCAACGGGCTGCCCAGACACTGTCGATTTGGGCCTGATCCGCGGGCAGCGAGTTCCGGTCGTAGAGGGGGGAAAGTTCTACTCGGACGTGAGATTCGGGGATACCCCCCAAAGCCGGGCATTTGAACAGTAAGGAGATATCTGGGTCCATCCCCTGCCTGCTTTGTTCACCTGAAAAGAGAGGAAGGCGAAACGTCCAGCATTTTCCTCTGGTTTTGGGGGTTCCCAGTATGTACCTACTACAGCGACGCTTTTCAACCTTAACAACTTTAGGCCCTCTGGACTTCAACTCCCAGAATTCCCCAGCCAGCCACTTCAACTCCTCACTCTTCAGTGTCCTGAAACTACCAATTTGTGATGGAATTACTACCAGAGGTGGTCTTCAGCCGGTTCTGACCGGTTCTGGAGAACTGGTAGTGGAAATTTTGAATAGTTTGGACAAACGACAAATGCCACTTCTGGTTGGCCCCGCCCCCATATCTATTCTCCGCCTCCCGAGTCCCAGCTGATTGGCTGGGTCTTCTTTGGTTGCCCTGCCCAGGAGAACGGAGCTGGAAAGCAGGTCAGTGGGGTGGGGAGGGAAGGGGGATTTTGCAGTATACCCTTCCCCTGCCACGCCCAACAAGCCACGCCGACAGAACTGGTAGTAAAAAATCTGAATCCCACCACAGATTACTATGTATAGTATCGGAGGTCCCATCATCCTGTTGCCAGCCTCTCTTGAACAATCACAAAGGGATCAAGAATGAAAATTCCATTTGAAAAAGAAGAAATTCCACTTTCTTTTTTCCTTGCCTTTCTTTTGAAATTAGTCCTCAGCTTACGACCACCACTTATTGGTGGCTAAGCAGGACAGTTCTGCCCCATTTTACGACCTTTCTTGACACAGTTGTGAATCGCTGCAGCCGTGAAGTTAATAATCCAGTTGTTAAGTGAATCTGACTTCCCCATTGGCTTTGCTTGTCGGAAGGTCACAAAACCATCGTCAAGTTGCCAATATCTGCATTTTGACCACGTGACCATGGAAGAGGTTGCAATGGTCATAAGTGTGAAAGACTGGTCATAAGTCATTTTCTTCAGTGCCGTTGTAACTAATCTTAAACAGTCAATGAAGGAACTCTTGTTAAGTCAAGTATCATTAATTTTTTTTTCCTGGATCTGCCTAGCAGCCGTGGGTGTGCAAATAGAATAACGTATAGAATAGAATAACAGAGTTGGAAGGGACCTTGAAGGTCTTCTAGTCCAACCCCCGGCCTAGGCAGGAAACCCCACACCACTTCAGATAAAAGGTTATCCAACATCTTTTTAAAAAACTTCCAGTGTTGGAGCATTCACAACTTCTGGAGGCAGGTTGTTCCACTGATTAATTGTTCTAACTGTCGGGAAATTCCTCCTTAGTTCTACGTTTCTTCTATCCTTGATTCTTCCCTACTCAAACAAGCGTGAATTTAGCCTCCTTGGTTGAAGCTCACAGACTACTCCATCTTTTGCCCATGAGGATATCCGACCTGTCAAACTATCCATGGTTAAATTGCAACGATCGTCACAGCTGGACAGAACGCACTGTGTTCCAGATGCGCTGGCATTGGAAATTCCCCACCTGTCAGACTTGATAGGAAGCTGGAGCGATATATATTTTGCAGACTTTACTGCTTTTCATGGATCCCGAAGGGCCACATGGTTGATATGAAGAAGGAAAACCCCAGGAGGTTAAGAGAAGGAGAAATTTAAATCAGGGCTGCCAACTGTTCGGAAAATTAAATCTTGATCTGCTTCCCTTTCCCAATTGGGGTGGAGAGGCCTAAAAGAAAGGCAGGACTTCTATATCTGTCGCAGCTGCGTTTAGAAGCAAAGTCTTCAGGATCAAGGATTTGAAAATGTGGCAGCTTAACTGCGACAGAATCATCTTATTTTTACAAGTTAGAAACAAAGGGTTAGGGCTGGGAATATCTGCAGTTATAGGATGAGCTGCAGAGGCTGGAAAGAAGTTGGCAACGCTCATCTGGAACGTGAAAAAATAAAACAATTTTTGGGGAGGATGGGAATAGCAGGGACATTTGACAGGGAGGACAAAGAAATAAAAAAGATTTGAGGCTACATGCTACTTCTTCATTCTGTCTACCACCTCCGCTCACCACGTCTGATATTAAGCTTTTGGGGACTTGATTGCAGGGGCTATAAATCCAAACAGGACATCAAGCCCTCAAGCGGAGATGGATGAGATTATAAGGCTTCGATTTAATTACGGAGCAAATTCGCTGCTCCTTCAACCCAGAACGCCATCATTGCAGTTTAATTGACATAATTTTCTGCAGAGGAAGCAGCCGCCTCACTGCAGCTTTGCTGAAGGATTGTTCATTGAGTAACTCATCATTTTTTAATATTTTCGCCCCCTAGATTTTTAGAAAAGGTTTAAATATTTTTTCTAAGAAATGCTCATTGCCCAAAAAATAAAAACAGGGCAGCATCTTCGTAGCTGTAGTCCTCGACTTACAACAGTTTATTTAATGACCGTTTGAAGTTACAACAGCACTGAAAAAATGGGAATTATGACTGTTTTTTGCACTTTAAACTGTCACAAAACCCCACAGTCACATGATCAACTTTTAGATGCTTGGCAACTGACTCATATTTATGACGGTTGCAGTGTCCCCGTTTGCGACCTTCTGATAAAGGCAGTGCAGAAGCCAGATTTGCTTAACAACTGTGTGACTAGTTTAACACCTGCAGTTGTTCCTTTAACAACTGTAATAAGAAAAATCGTGAAATGGAGCAAAATTGACTTAATAAATGTCTCAATTAGCAACAGAGTGAAGTCGCAAAAGGGGTTCAAAGGGCCCAGGGACACTGCAGCCATCATAGATGTGAGTCGGTTGCCAAAAGTCTGAATTTTGATGTGACCATGGGGTTTTACGATGGTTTAAAGTCCGAAAAACGGTCATAATTCCCCTTTTTCAGTGCCATCATGACCTTGAACCAGGGGTGGGATTCAAATATTAACAACCAGTTCTGTGGGCGTGGTCTAATTTGTGGGTGTGGCTTGGTCATATGACTGGCTGAGTGTGGCTTGTATGTAAATACTATAAATATTTATGTAAATATTGAATTTTTTATTAAAAAAAAGAACAACTTTTACCCAAAAGCAGGCAGGCAGATTGAATTGCTCGCAGAATCACAGATTCACTCAGAGATCTACCTTTCTGCAATCTGTTGCCTGAGTCTGCACTGAAAAATAGAAGCTTCAGTCCTAAGGAAGGTTCAGCTCTGCTTTTAGATTAGCAAGAAAGCAAGAAATCCAACAATTTCCTGTTTTCTAGCTAATCTAAATCCCCCAGCACAGCGGCACAGGCAAAAATGGCAACTTACGCAGGCAAGTTTGATGGCGCGCATGCCAGGTAAGGAGTGAGTGGGCGGGGCAGGTCCAGCTAGTGGTGTGATTTGCCGGTTCTCTGACTTGCGCAGAATTGTAACAACTAGTTCTATAGAACTGTCCGACCAGGTAGAATCCCACCCCTGCTTTGAACGATCACTAAATGAAGTGTTGTGAGTCAAGGACTAGCTGCGGTTGGAAGCCAGACACTGGGGGGGAAGACACTGTTATGTCACGGTTTAAAGTGAGCAGAGAAGATGTGCTGAAAACATTTATTTGGGTTTCCAACCGGGAAGACACAGACCACTGAATCTGGTTAGGCTGGTGCCAGTGCTAAAAAGAAGACAGATGAAAATGTCAAAAGCAATTAAGGAAGGGATTCTTTGCAAGCAAAACCCCAGAGGAATTTTCTCACTGCTTTATTAGTTTGAACATATATAAAATAATTCCCCACCCCTCTGGTTCGCAATGCTCCGTATGCTACTGTAAATATGCCTCTCCTATTTTTTTTCTTTTGTTAACCCTCGACTTACGACCTCAAGGGAGCCCAACATTTTTGTCGCTAAACAAGACATTTGTTAAAGTGAGGTCGGCCTCATTTTACAACTTTCCTTGCCACAGTTGCTAAGTGAATCGGTGTGGTGGTTCAGTTAGTAACCAACCCAGTTGTTTAAGTGAATCTTGGCTTCCCTGTTGACTTCGCTGGTTAGAAGGTCGCAAAAGGAGATCCAGTGCAACCGTCATAAATACAAACCAAGCGCCTGAATTTTGATCAACGTGACCCGTGGGGAGTGCCACGACGGTCCTAAGCATGGAAAATGGGTCGTAAGTCACTTTTTTTCCCCCTTGCCTCAGTTGTGAAGTGAATCATTAAAGTCAGTAACACAGTTTCGAACGGTCACTAAAGGAACTGTTGTAAGTCGAGGAACACCTGTACTGCAGACCGGGAAGAATGGAGAGGACTAGCTAGGCTCTGTTGGAAGAAACGGAGGGACTCCAACTCCCAGAATTCCAAGACCCTTTCTCTAAATATCACTTTTCTTAAACTCCCTCCTGCATGACTGATTCAAGGGGACGACTTCCAAGATTAAGAGGTCTTAAAAACTGAGGCGGCACAGCAACAAGTGCCAGGAATCCTAAAATTCAGGAATTAAGAGAGGATTATGACTATTTGTTAGGTGTGAAAATGCATGTGGTTGGGTTTTTTCTTCTTCTTCAGGGGTACCAAACGCCTGATACGCCTCTCTGGCAATAGCTCCATTCAGGAGAGATTTGCACACGCGTGAACACGGGATGCCGTATAATCTGATTTGTAATGGGCACTAATGAATGTTAATCTCGGTGGGAAGATTTGGGGGTGGGGGCTTATACAAACCGGAGGAATGAAAAAAGACTCTTGCTGGACTGAAGTCCAAACCAGGGAGACCAACTTCTATCACCTCTTGTTCCTCCGGCTTATTTATTTATTTTTAAATAGAATTGAAACCAGCAATTCTGAGTTAGCATCTCTGGAGATGGCTAATTAATTTCTATGTCAAAACTGTTGTTAACCAGACACAGATAGTCCTCGACTTACAACACCTCGCTCAGTGACTGTTCAAAGGTACGATGGCACTGAAAAAAAAGGGACTTAGGACCCCTTTTTCATAGTTACAACATTTCCAAGCATCCCCATGGTCACTTGATCAAAATTCGGACACTTGGTAACTGACTCATATTTATGACGGTTGCAGTGTCCCGGGGTCACGTGAGTTAATAACTGGAGTGATTCACATCAACGGTGGCAAGGAAGGCCGTAAAATGGAGCAAAACTCACTTCACAACGGTCTCGCTTAACAACAGGAACGTTGGGCCCAATTGTGGTTGTAAGTCGAGATGTACCTCCTGTACTGCCATAAAGTTGGCTTGCTTTTCCTAAAAGTCAGGCAGCTTTCGAAATTGGCTAGGTTAGGTTACCATGGTTGTGTTTGGGCTGGCATAGACGTTATTATTTAGCACAAGGGTCTCCAAACTTGGCAAGTTTAAGGCTTGTGGACTTCAACTCTCAGAATTCCTGAGCTAAGATAATTGTAGGAGGAATTCTGGGAGTTGAAGTCCACAAGCCTTAAAGCTGTCAAGTTTGAAAGACCCCTGATATAGGACAGACTAAAATAAGATTGGGGATTTTGGCTTACTCTCTATGCTTAACTCAGATATTATGTATAATGAATTATTAAGTATTAGGAAAAGCCTCACGTTGTGGCATATCCATCTTGCAACGGCAATCGGACAAAGGATGAGTCCACGATGAATCGGCTCCAAAGGATGGCACGGCTGGGCATTCACCAAAGTCCTATAACTAATAAAAACAGCCCTGATTTAAGAGTGCGACTTTTCATACAAGATGTCAAAATCAGATGCTAATGGAAGGAGGATTGTCAGACAAACAGGCAGACGTAAAGGGCAACTTGGAGAGGGGCTGCAATTGGAGGGGTCCTTGGTGCTCTCTAAGTTTGGTTGTTTTCTTGCAGATGTTTCATGACCCAGTTAGATTATACCATCAGTGCTAGAAGGGAGCGGGGTTTGCTGCAGATGCCCCTTCCAGCACTTAGGATGTTACCTAGATGAAACGTCTGCAAGAAAATATCCAAAATCAGAGAACACCATGGAACTCCTCATTTCAACCCTGAGCTACAAATATTGTCTGTTATTGGGTTACATTTTTTTTTAGAAAAAAAAAAAGCTCGAACTGGGTTTGCACAGGCAAAGGGCGAGAGCCGGTAAAAACACATTCTATTTTTGCTCTCTGTTTTATCTTTTTAAACCAGCTGCGGTCAGACAGATAAAACAGGAGCAAGATTTAATTCTGCTTTAAAAATTGGCAGGCTTTTAAAGTTTATTCTTCACAAAGCCACCACGGAACCCAGGAGGACCAAAGCATTTGAGAAGTGCTTTTGTTATACAGATTAAAATGGAATCCTTAAGAGTTGATAGCCCAGTTATTTCTTGCCCAACCCTGATACCAGTAAAATAATTTTGTTTGTTCGCTTTTTAACAAACTGATTTCTCATTTCCAGGGATTCAAAATCCTGCCAAATTGAGCAACCCCTGATGTAAGGTCAGCTTGGAGCCTGGAGCATTCATTTCCGCTGCAGTTTTTATCTTTGCACGGAAAAATTTGGCAATTGTCCTTGGCAACAACATACTTCCCTTTTGACAGTGGTTTTCCTAAGTTGTCCTGACTGGGCCCTTTGTGGGAGGACCACCACTACCCCATTCAAAAATAATAAAATAAAATAAAATAGAAGGTCCATTCTCTCTTCTTCCCAGTGAAAGGGAGACGTCAGTGTCGCACCTTTGACAAAAGTGTGTGTTCTTGGTTGGGCTTCCTGGCTGGTTTTCACGGGGAGGCTGCTGGCACCCTTCCCGTATATTTCACGGCTGATCGAATATGAGCCCTTTTTGCCTGGCAACTCTGGAAAAGCATCTGTAATCTCTTTCTCAAATCAAGACCCACGGGGCTGGCAAGTGATCCTACAGCCAGCTGTTCCCTCGCCTTTCAACCTTTGGAGTTGGCATCTTTCAATTTAATTTTTTTTGGGGGGTGTTAAAACTCTTTTGCATAAAGCGAAGATTCATTCACTGGGGCTCAATTCAGCCGTTGAGATTTGGCTTTTGGCAAAAAGGGAGACCGCCTCGACGTCTGGAGGAGTGGGGGGACAATTGTGCATTTGATAGACCCCCGCTGCCCATTGTTGCTTGGCTCCCAATCGTCTGCTTTAAAGTTTGACCTACAATCTTGACGTCAGGACTATCTGGGGGTGTAGAAAATCACTCAGCCTTCTCAGATCTGCAAATAGGCAAGAAAAGGAGCTAAGCACATGACACATCCCTTTGAATTAGCATTCACACACACACACAAATATATACCCCTCCATAAACAAACATATAAAATACCTGACAATCTAAATTTAAGGTATGTTGTGTGTGTGTAAACTTGATATTTTGTCTAAAATATGTTTGCGTGCATCTATAAAATCTCATCATGTAGAATTTCAGTGTGCATAAATGAGACATTCTTTAGTTTTTTTTAACCTATTACATCTAAATATATAAAATATGTGTGAGAATGTGGTTGTATATAAAACTGGACTTGGTCTACCTTTCACCTGAAATACAATTTATATGCACATGTGTGCATATATAGGCATCTATAAAACTGGATGTGGTCTATGCAATTGTTCTCAAGCTGACCAACTCCCCAACCTCCTTTCATGAAGGGTTTCATGAAGTAAAAAAAAATATTTAAATGTCTCGGCAAAACCTTATAAATTGAACTTATGTTTATTTATAAATATAGGCTCTTTGGGGATCCTCCATCATTTTTAAGAATGTAAAGAGGTCCTGAGACCACCAAGTTTGATATGCTTGAAGTGTTTCTCAACCTTTCAGATGTGTCGACTTCTAGCCAGGGAATTCTGGGAGTTGTAGTCCACATTTTAAACCATGCTGGTTGGGAAGTTCTGGGACTT